TTCACTTCGCTGCTTGAGGAATCGCAGGCTGCTTAATCCTTCAAAGTACACCTTTCAAGTTGGTTGAGCGCATTTTTAGCTTTATTTGAAGTATTTATTGCATATGGTCTCGTTTTTTTGCTTCCAGGCTGGCAGTTGTTCCTCCATCATGGAGGTTGAAACAACCTCAGAATAGATATCGTACCAATATGCGTACGCATATCTGCCACACTTCCTGTCGAGGAGGTATTTCCATGCCCATTTTTAAAGCGCCGGACTTAGTTACGTAAATCTGGAACACTTGAGTGACCTTCAAAGCTAAGTTGCGTCTGCGTTGCTTGGATGATAACGACGAAACTAAGTTTTCGAATTCTCACATTGATTGCTTCTGATGGAAGTCACGTAGTGGTGGGTAGTCACGAGGTCTTCACGATATCCCGAAGTGAACGATTTGCGGTCATTTATTACGGTTTTTCTCCTTGGTATCATTTTGCTATTTTACTCACCATAGTAGTGTTTGGTAACAAATGTTAATAAAGATTTTTGATATGATCTTAGACATTGGTATGCGTATTCTTAAAATATGCTTGGATTCTTTCATTTGTCTATGATTTGTTCTTTAGATTAAAAATTACCTACGAGCAGACCACTCTTCGCGTATGTCGTGTACAGTTCGACACCTGCGAGGTGCAAAATGTAGGCAAGTGGGCAGTGTTATGCTGGTGACATTAGTGTCAGAAGCACCTCGAGTTCACGCGGAAAACTGTAAGTATTTTACAATTCGTTCATATTAAGAAATAATCCCACTTTTTCAAAATCATTGCGGTCTTTTCGATGCACTCTAAATGCCATTTTAAGTTAATTCAAAATGAAGATCAAACGCCACGAAACCACTGAGGAGGTTCACTTTCACATGTCACGACGGTTCAGCACCTTTTTCACCATTTATCTTGTAGTCCGTAACAAAGTGAATAAAAAAGGTGCGAAAAGAAATAGAGTGGACTAACTATTTCTACTACTATGTAAGCTCCATTGACACTTACAGAGCTTGCGATATTTATGAGCGCCGAGAACTTTGCATATTCCGATCGTATGTGAACTACGTAGAATGGCTTTAGTTGACTGTCTCTAAGCAAATAACTTCTATAGGAGGTGTATAAGTGAACAAGCTAACCTACTGTAGTTTCGAAATGGTTCGCCACTACTTACGCTCATTGGTAGTGCTATCGCTTTTAGAATACGTGCTCCCCTTTTTGATTAGTGGAGAGTAAGGTTTACAAAGGAAAGTTTGAATTTCTAAGCAAGCATCATAGTGGTAAAAGAATTCCGTGCTGCTGATTTCTATTCACGCTGGTTCAATTTCACTCCAGGTTTTAGAGCTTAGGTACTTTTTGATATTCTGTCCGTAGTTGTCCGTGCTTTTGGACTTTTTACTCATTATGATTATTCCGCAAACTGTGTGGGATATCTTTAGAACCGCCTTTCGTTAAAGCTCGGTAACAATATTAAATAATCTCTTGTACGATTAAGCCGACACGAGGTCTGTATAGAAACATTTGCTCGGCTAACGTTTCGGTACCTTCGCTTTTCTTCAGTTCTCCATTGATACGGATCGATGGTCCACAGCTGGCCGCTGTAGCGGTGTGGATGTCCGTTGACGCATCGGGTCGAATTCGATGTAATGGAGCATCACTTCACTGAGCGATAGTTTCCTATTCAGCGGGTGTTTCCATTCGCACCCTCACTCGAATGTCCTTTAGGCATGCCTCCTGTAGGAGCTGGAACTTAATTTGCTGATACGTGACGGGATAATCAATGAATATCAATATGTGGTTCGCTTTTGACTTAATGCAGTTGGCAGTCGAATGCATTATTCCCGTCCTTAACGAAATGTCTGACCAAGAGCTTATTTCGAGTCATGTGAAACCGACTTATGTTTGGTTAATTGTTCGCTATTGTTTTCAAGTAGACAAGATGCTATTCAAAGAAGTATGACAGAAAAGCCTACTAAACAAGCAAATTACGCTGATTGTTTTTCTTCTTGCTATTGCTCATTTCTTAAAGTTTTCTCTGCAAATGTTGCTGTCTGCGTGGAGTTGGTCAGTTTCTGTCGAGTTTGTTATTTGTACAAACGGTCTTTACTTCGTAGATGGCTAATATTCTCTCTTCTCGTTTGTCTTCTGCATAAACACTGAATTTCTTGTCTTTCACAAATTATTAACGTTGATGTAAAGCAGTATTTGCTGAGATATACCAGATTTGTTGAGTGAACCATCTTGTATTCTTTAAGATCGCTCTTGCACCATAACGTTTTGGAGGTTCATGAAATTCTTCCAAGAACTTTATAACTTCTTTTCTATTCTGCATAAAAAAGACCTCATATCAGTTATGAAGCATGTGGCTTTTAAAGCAAAGACGATTATTCATTTCACTACCTTCTTGCTAAGCAGACACGAGGTTGTTATTGCGGAATTTATTCATTACCAGTAGCTGACAGTTCGACCGTTTCGTGTTCTCCAGAGCCCGCTAAGGTTAAATTGAAAAGCAGCCTGCACATCAAAAAACTCTCGTAACCTTAGCCGATAAAAGGTTATAAGTAGATCCTCATTCTGATGATAATCAGCTTCTTTGAAGCACTCACCGTTGATGTCTTAGTGTGCTGTGTGAGGATATTGACTTTTAAATTAAAATCCTTTCCGTTGTACTTTTGTACCCCTTGTGTGCCTAGTGGGATACTTTGTCTTGCTTTTCGTTTGCCATCTATATGTTCTTTTATACGGACACAAACGTCTGCCCGTTTCACCAATATATTCATCTCCGCAATCATTACAAGAGATCAGGTATATCACCTGAATTACCTGAACTCATGCAATCACTGTCCCTACGTAAGGGCAAATTGTACAATTTCGTGTTCCGCATAGACGGTCGTATAGGCGGTTAGGAACTAACTGGCGACGAAGAGTATTCGGTGGTATTTCAATTATCGCTACCCATTCCTCTAGATCTGCCCCTCTTAAACATCGTTTTATAGCTACGCTCACTTCATCGCTAATAAAGGGTAACACAAACGGGACTTTCTTTTAGCCAAGTGTTTCGTTCTAGCGCATCGTCTTCCTATTAAACTTATCTCGTGCGGTTACTGTTTCGTAGCCATTGGAGATGGCTATTTGCTCAGCGAAGTCGCGCGATTCTTCCTTTAGTTGTTTAGTTGTGCACACGAAGGTGTTCGAAACATGTTTCTTACAAGCGCCCTGTTTGTGTGTGAAGGGTGGGAAGAGGGAAATGAACCAAGATGTTTTTATTACTTGGTTTTCAGTACCACTTTGTCATGTAACCGCTATTATACGAATAGCAAGTGTACAAACATAAAAACAAGTATAGGAATATGCGAAAATGCAAATATACCGCTTTTTCTTCGAAATATTCGTTGTCAGATGCCATCGTCATTCTTTGAGGAGTATTAGTAAACAAGCGACGGTGCTCGATGAACTCAACGAAGTGGAGAAAAAAGACTGGACTGCTTATAAATAGGACGAAGACCCAGTTCATGAAGTCCATAAACCCATGGTGAGAAGGTGGACAAATGCAACTAAGTGGTTCTTTGGTCACAGAAGCTACCTCGTATGTGTTCCTTTGATGTTCAGTGAACACAGAAAATAACAGGGAGGAATCAGACAAAGGAAAGAGATTAGACAGAGATGGCAACATGGACCGCATTCCTGCCGCTCAAAGAAGGCATCGACCAATAAATGGCCCCAAATATCCGCGCTCACCACCTTTTCTGTTAAGTAGTCCTTCAACATTTATGGAGCAGAAACGAAGGATAGTACTTCAACCATGCCGAGAAATCTGCGCAGCAACCACAAAGACCATGAACGGTGTCTTCTATAGTGTAACTGGCACTCATGTCTAGCCGAAATTCATTGCTCAAATATTCGAAACCTATCCCATCTTTGAGATCCAGAAGAACATACATCGAAAGCAAAACGAAGAGGGGCAGATCACATAATAAGAAGAACACTTGCCAAATGGACGAAAAGAAGAGGACTGAACTCCAAGAGAATGCAAGCGTCACATCGGAAGACCACCCAAACAATGGGCGGACGTATTCGTGGCTTAAGTCATTCGTCTGCACTCCCAGATGGGAATGACTTCATGATTATGGAAAGGGTTTGGCGGATGTCATGTTCGAAGCAGACTACCAAAGACGGGCCATCAAATTGTCCAAGCAAGTATTTTATAAATCTTGTACACAAGCCACCGAGTTACTATAAATACTCCTTCTTACTCTGTCCTCGTAATGTTACCACTGTTTCCTACTTATCGCTCCTTCATCTCATGTGCAGATATTAATTGTTAAGCTTTTCATGTATACAAGCAAAAATATTATGGCACTTTGACCAAGTTTGAAATAAAGGGCTCTGGTCACCGCACGAACTAACCAACGCAACATCTATGCTGCATATGGTTAATTGAGGTCTTTCCTCTGTGTACTTTTTTTATACAGCATTCATTCATTTTACCGCTGTCCAGCATAAACCAGTTTCAGAAATATTTATTTCAATCTTTGCCTACTTTTAATTCAATACAGTTCTTACTGTTTTTGTACAGAGATAACGTGCACAATTACTCCTTAGCGCGCAGACTTCTTACTTGCCATTTTTTTTCAACCAATACCATATACATCTCCAGACAGATATATTAGCTCATAAACATATTTTTTGAGAGTTAATTAGCCGCGTAGAAACAGAGGCAGATAAGTGAAAGAAGACTCTACTTAGAAACCCAAACCGTTCACAATGAGCTTTAACGAAATAGCCCGTTTCATTGAGTAATTCAAGGTTAGTACAAACGTCGAAAAATCAACGCTCCCACAAGGAGTTTTCATGAAAACACTGCGCTTAAAAATATAGCCAACATCAGAAAGATAGAAAACATTGACAAAGAGCTAAACTGTACTAATCAGGATCTGCTGTAGTCAGTCGTATATAGTTCAGAATTTGTTAGTGGTTAGAATGACTTCACTGGATGTACTCCTTGTTAAGGGCACGACCGATGACCAACCGTCGAACCTAAACAAAAGCTCAAAAATTCAATACATTAATTTTACTAACAGAAATAGCTTACTTCACTGGTTCCGGCACCGATTTCGTACAACTTTGAGTCCCGTAATAAACGCCCAGTGGGATAATCGTTTATGTAGCCATTTCCTCCTCAAAAAGTGTAAACTGACCAGGTTAGAAAACAAAAAGAAAAGAGATTGAAATGTGAAACAAGAAGAAGTAAAAAGGTAATAAAAAGAATAAAGAAGAAAACCTAGAATTTGAATGGCATCCAAGCATACTTGTGTGCACTTCTCACCAAGATATAATATAACTCCAGCACAATCCTATAATGAAAGTTTTCACTGAGCTAAGAAACGTTGTATTTAAGCCAATGTTTAGGGCACAAGTGCCGTAGAGTTCAGCTGACCAATTCGAAATATACGTAATACAATGAGACTTCCTCTATAAGATTTAAAAATAGCTTCAAAGAGAATAAAATGAAATAACGAGACTCTGATCAACTAGACAGTGGTCAGAGAAAATCACATTTAATGACACCCGCGGAGCACGGTGTTCTCACTTTGTTTGAGAGATGACCGTTGTCGGCTGCCTTGGCAACCGTATATAAATAAGCTCTGCAGGCGTTCAACGTTGTGTACATATCAGCCATTTTTCCTTGAATCATCTGGAAAGTCCAACATAAGCTGTAAATGGAACAGAAGAACCCTGAGTCGCTTGGTAGTAACTCACCTGGAATGTTCCTATTTGCGTACCGAAGGCCTCACGGTGATGCGCGTACTGGAACGCAACGTCGCAGGCAGCTTGCATTATCCTGAACTTTACATCCAGTTCCAAGGAAATGCATTTCCAAATTTTTATCGAATTAATCAGTTTACTAAAGCCACGAATGTGTTTATACCTCTGAAGAATTCAGGATCGGTGACGACTTCCAAAGCGGAGTTTTAATATTTACAGACGAATGTGTCACAATCCTGGAGAGTCTAAGTAGTCGGTGAGAACCTAGCTCCTCTGGGATGGTTATTCAAGCTACCGGATTAATATAGACGGACGATGAACACAAATGAGGAGCATGGCACCATCTCATATGGGAAGCAAACAACTGCGACTAATTCCCGAAAACAACTTGGCCTTTAATCCACATTCTAACACAAGAGCGAATTTCCCAAAGTGTGTTCATTATAAAGCTACGTGTAAGTAGGTGTGAGAGTCTTTAAAAGCATAAATAACAAATAAGATATCAAACGAACGAATAAATAAATTTGCAAGAGGGGATGAGTAATTTAATAAATCCTACCCCATTGGTCCACCGGAAAGCACTAGACGTTCAATATCGAGTCCAGTCATCAACACGTACACGCCTTTGCCAACACCACCCATGAGATTTTCTTCTAAAAAATAAAAATACGAAAACTCTTGAAGAAAAGAGAAGATGACAATAGGAATAGATTGAATGTAAAAAAAGGAAAGTCGTGATACTGAAAGTGATGAATTCCGGTTCTCTCTCTCTCTCTGTTACTTTCATGACGACACAAAGGACTACAACTGGAGAAATACGTCCCCCATTAAAACCACTGAAACGGCTGCCGTTCTAGAACAAATCTACACGCAAGGCGGACAACCTCACTCTGCAATGCTTGTGTTGAAGATCTGGGAATGCGCCAGGATAGCTAGTCCTATGCTCCAATATTCTACCGAAACAATTTTTATCAGATAATGATAACCATGATCTTCCTGATGCCATAGACCATATAAAACATATTTATCCCCACCAAAAATTATGAACAAGAAGCCCATGTTTCACCAGATGCAGCTGTACTTCCGCTAGCCAAGGTAAGAAGATTCTATAGCTGATAATGACCAACTAACATGATGATGTGAAACACCACCGTATGCTGCAGGAGATGGATTCCGTTTGACCTTCCTGTCGTTTCATCCTTCTGCACCGCATCACATCATCGTAATCTCCCCACTAATCAATTTAACTATGCAAAAGAAAAGATACTAATCTATCTAGAAAACTAGATGCAGGTCTCATACGTGCAAATCAACAATTATTCAATAGTCAGTCTTATACGAGCAGTCTAGTTTTAGTGACACAATAGCCAATTTCAACCGCTGAAGATCGATGATATTACGGAAGATCACAACATAATTCTGGAAGGCTCCCGAACCTACTCTGAGCAAGCCACTCAAAAATTTAAGATAAGCATAAACGTTTATCAAAGACGATTAAACAGCTCGAAAAGAATTAGGAGAGATTTGAGACTAGAAATCCCGATGGTGTAGAGAGTACACGATTTGTCACTAACATCAACCGAAAAAGGTACGAAAAGGAGGATCTTGTAGATGGACGAAAACCCAACAGGCAGCGCGAGAAAGAAAAATCATGAACAGAATCGATGTGGAGAAGTAGCACACAAATTTCCATCGGTCAACAAAACCTGGGTGAAATCCCACCAGCTCACTACCATGGGACTATCTCAATGAAACAGGTGATAAACAGTGCTACTAATTAATTGAAAAAAAGTCGGTTAATAAAGAACACTTAGTATGAAAGCGAACAGATCATTTTGAATGATTTAACGAGCGAGTAAATCATAAAAATGCTCAATTAATATAAAGGATAAAGGATAAAGCTCTCCACGTTGATCAATCCCTGAGGTGATGCACCATGCATTCGACTTCATTAAGCACCGTTGCAAGTGACTGAATGCATATCTGGGCTTTACAATCACTCGCTGTGGCACACAGATGTATATAGCCATAGATGCTATCCACCCAGACAAGTCTGATACCAATTTGCCGACTCCAGAGGGATGAAGGGCTTGGTGAACTTGGGGCACGAAGATCGATCTCATGTGTATTGGCACCTCCGGCTGCTACACGTGTCCTTGTTCAATGAGTACTAATAATTAATGACAGGAAAGCTTAGTAGAAAAAAACAACGAAAAGCGCTACCCACTTTTGTGTTTCGCTCAGAGACCACCGACAAACTTGCTGTTCCCAGTGGTCACCGTAGTGAGACAATAGTTCTCCAGCTCTATACTATGCAACAGCAACATGAGTCGATATTTTGGCAAAACCAAAAAACCTACGAAGAATACACAGAGCGCTCGAGCGACGTTTTATGATTGCGAACATTCAATATAAAGGCGTTCTTGCAGTTAGTGCTTTGAAGGATCACCCTTCTTCAATATGCAGTAGAATATGTTCCGTAGAACCAAATTTAGTTGGCTGGTCATAAAATTAACGATAGCTAAAGAAAAACATTACAATGAATCTTGGAGGAATCAAATCGACTCCTAGAAATACTTCCAAAAATAATATCCACAAGTAGCAATAAGTTTTGGATCTTCGCGCCAAGGTGAACCTGCGCAGGACTCTGATCTTTTTGTGGAAAAACGATTGCAAGACAACGAAACAGATGGGAAAAGTGTTGTAAAAACCTAGAATACTCGAAGACAAGCCATTTAGTAATTTTTACTTCTTTTTTGAACTTTAAGACCAAAATTTTTTTGCTTAGTGTGTTGGGGAAATTCCCGTAAAGTACTCTGCGTTCCAGATAGCAACAAACAAAGAAATGCAAACAATTTGCTCAGAAAACAGAAATGGAAAAAGAAAAAAAAATTTGAAACCTCAAAGAATGAGAGTGCTGGAGAACCACTAAATAGGATAAAGAGGTGAAGAAGTACAACCCTCGCCTGGAATCTCACAATCCTCGAACACCAGTTCACAAGTGTTGGAACCGCGCATACCCAGTTTGTTTAGCTTTGGTGAGGTACTGAACCCTTTAAACCCCTGAAAAAAATTGAACAACAGAAGACATGTAATATACAAGCACTCAAGAGCTCTGAACACTCAGTCACATTTCAAACAATGTTTTTCTAAATATCTCGCTCTCTTTCTTAGCAATCTCGAGGTTGTTATTCAGCACACGTATACTTCCTTACGAGAAGAACACATACAACACAACGGTAGCTGACGTTTCAGCAGTATCGCCTTCTTGAGAGCCTGGAAGGGTACGCTAATATGCAGCTTACTACGCCAAACCCTCCAACAGCACAAATAGAAAGATGAAAATCTGAACGATAATCACACGAACTGCAGTTTCTCGAAAAACCCACCGTTTCTTTGCCTGCTTTCCACCCAGGAAGAACAGCCGCTGAGAGTCGCATATGGATGATGACGACACCACCTCTCATCAAAAAGCGCTTCTGAGATGCGGGGCCAGATCACATGTTATCTCTGGGCATGCTTCCCTGCTATTCATTCTCGGGTTCATAGCATTATCCAAAAGGCCTCGAGAAGTTTGCGCGTTGGTATTTTAGAATCTTGTGCGAGGATAGCGACTTTTATATCAAAATGTGCTGTTGAAGGATTTAACTAAGCAAACTGCGTAACAATGTACACTCCCAGGCTTTGAAGAAGGCGATACTGCCGAAACATCAGCAACCGTTATGGTGAACGTATTCTTGTAAGAAGGTAAACGTGTGCTAAATAACAATCTCGCGATTGCTGAGAAAGAAAACGACACATTTATAACCCACTACCTAGATTAATAAAAAGTCGATCTTGGGAAGTTTTTGAAATTAACGAGTTTCCTACGAAATGTGCTTCACTTTTGTCATACCCCGCTGTAGAACACACAGGTTTGTTGCTAATAAGCGACAGATAAAAAACACCTTAATGCTAACTTTTTATTTACTGCCTATTATGTATTTGCAGGACATGGACCCCAGGTTAAATCGAACAGTGATTGCCGTCTCTGCTGGCCGAGGTGTTACGCACGGCACCACTGAGGCCCTTGTTTTGCCTTTCTTTCTCAGCGCAAATGGAGAGGTGAAGCAAGGGCCTCAGTGGTGCCGTGCGTAACCCGTGAACCTCTGGATACGATAATCATGGTTCGCTCTGGCTTGAGGTCCAAGTTTTGGAAATAAAGCAACTCACTTTCTCCACTAGGAAACAAGTAATGCCGTGTTGGTGTAGTGTTGGATCAGTTTTAGCATATACTACCAAAACATCAGCATCCGGACCATTGGTGATCCAGAATTTTGTGCCATTCAATACATACCTTTAAGAAAATGCCCTTGAAAAACAAGTCTCGCAAAGGTTTGGAAAACGTTAGTTAACAGTCGCACTTATCGCCGCGCTTCTCGGCTTTCAACTTCATGCTGACCACATCCGAGCCGGCATTGGTTTCTGACATGGCCAACGCTCCTATATGCTCACCGCTGATCAGCTAAAACTAATGGTTAAGCTTTTGTGCTGGGCAGATTAGTCATACCTAACACTTGCTCTGAATTATGAAGGGTGTTATAAACTATGTTAGCAAAGTATTTTCAGAAGCACAGAGTAATAAGCTATTCGATGCTTCCAAAAACGTTATACTAACAAGTAAAAAAGTGGAAATGCAAGTCTGCATGTTGAAGATTTCCCCGACAACTAACGATTCGCAGCATTTACTTTTTAAAAAGAACAAACAGTAATTTCAGATGAAGGGAGTGGTAGAGAACTACCGAGACCGCACATGTGCAACTCGACTCCATTGTTTGCTAGATAATTACACGCTTTTTCTCATCTGCACATAAACGATAAATTGCGAAATTAAATATGTAATCATCTTCACCTTGGGCAAGTACTTCTCTTTCTGTTTCTGGGTACCATTACGTACGATCTGATTAACGCAGAGATTCGAATGGGCACCGTAGGAAAGTGCGATGGAGCCGCTAGCTCGGGACAATTCCTCCATTACAAGCACATGGGAGAAGTAATTCATTTGCGAACCTCCGAATTCCGCTAAAAAACAAGCACGAGATGAAAAACAGAAAGCCGACAGACCCTTTTGAAATCAACAAGCTGTGAAGATCACTGACTGCGAACATCTACCTTACCAGGAGCTGTAATACCCAATAATCCATGATCTCCAAGCTTTTTCCAGAACGGTCTGAGGCTTTCGAAGTTGTTATCACGATCAATTGTTTGTGCATGAGGGGCCAATTCCTTATCGGCGAATTCGCGGACGGACTTTCGAAGCTGAAAATGGAAAGCAAGGTTTTCATTCCGAATTTACTCAAAATGTCCATTGACAGCACAGTAATCGGAAGAAATTACGCAAGGATTAAAATGGAAAAGCTATTAAAAATCTTCGCTTGCCCGCACAGCGAATTGCAAAATCGTGATCATTAATTGACAGTAAATGCTGACAGGTAAGGTGGTCATATTCGAAGGATTCAGCAAAAGAAGCTACCAAAAAGACTGGATGGTGAATGACTGGTCCTGTTCCCTCCAGTCCGACGGGGAGATGCTCTTTCGAAAAATGGAAACTCTACGTAAATATGTATTCTGGCTTTTAAATTGTAATCTTGCTAGAGGATATATAACTTGTCGGCCGACCTCCGTTACTAAATTACAGGAAATGCATAAACATAACCCGAAATTAGAATGTCTGGAATCCCATTACCCCTTCATACGGTTATAGACAATGGATTGCGTCGAATAGGACGTGATATAAAAATTCCGTTACCAACCAATTACCAGTCATCACAATATGTCTTAAATGCAATCGAGAGAAGAAATAACAACAACTGTGATGGAAAGAATTTTTTTATTGCCGCCAGCGTTTCGATGCCTTCGCCTTTTCAGAACCTCAATAATTCAAATCGAATGTCAATAGCACGTGTTCCACTCCATTTGACTGAACTCGATATGATTATAAAGGACTCATAGATCACTAGAGACAAAAAATAACTGCAATGGTCGCCGGATTCGAGTCATCACGGCTCTGAAGAGAAGGATGACGGCACCGAGACGTGACCGAAAATGAAGAGTTTTTTGTAACATTCTCCTACTAGCCAATCAATAAAAAAAACCAGCAGAAGGACTGGAACAACACCATGTACATAAAGGCAAATAAGTTGGCTTTAGCACATTTAGGTTCAGCAGTGTTTACCGCGATTTCTTCCTCGCTGAGGCCAAACATGGCATCCGGGACCGGGTATGCGGACATCTTTCGACATGCCGTCAGCCTATTCGCCGCTCGACGCAACAAAGTTGAAAGCGACATGGCCTTACCTAAACGACAAATTACGATGAAAGGTAGCTCGTAAAAAATACGTAGAAATGGCAAAGAAAACGGAGAGTTCAGTTAATATCAAGGTTTAGGCACAGATCAGTTAAGAAAGATTGGCAAGAACTGGGAGTAGAAAGCAAAATTGATCTCAAGATCAACCTAGAAGATGAATTAACGAAGGATTAGGACTGCGTTTAAGCATTAAATTCGAATGTGGATGTAAGATTGTTTAAAAGTGCGTCTGAGTGCAATAATTGCTTGACATTAACAAATTCAACTAAACAAACTAAAACAAAGAAGCTTTAGTTGCGCTTAAAGTACAAAGACGTTTGCTGTATTTACCAGTCTTCCATAAACAACCTGCTACACAAGACATTCACCGACGTTGAACCTCAACAAGTTCCAGCGCATATAAATAGCATAGAAATCCAATAAGAACGAAAAATAGAGAACAAAGAAGGAAGGATAAAATTTTAATGGAAGGTTTACGCCTATCAATCTTCGAGTGAGCATCGGGAAACTAGTTCTGTCTTCATCGTATATCCATATTCCTCAATAGGTTCTACTACTTAAAGCGACGCGATCACACTTTTGCTTCAAAGCCTTCATCGGTTCTTATGGTGAGATGACGATGAATAGTGTTAGTTGGTCTTTCATTCTTGTCATTTTGAGTTAACCCTTAGTCGAGTGGATCGAAATCTCCAGCAGCGTGACCAAGGCGGGAAGTGAACCAGCTATACTACATATCTCGAAATCTACGAATATATCGCAGCTATTAAAGGAAGATAAGCTATTTGCAGAATGCATAAAACACTTGTTAATATTAGATTGTCTCCGAAAAAACATATCGATTTTGTATGGAGACCTTAAAGTACTGTAATTAGACCTAAATGAACATTTATAAGTCAAATTAAAAACGATTAGTACAAACGCCTTTACGTCAACATATCATAAAGCCGTAAATCATTGAGGTTTTTATAGAAGTGTTTGCATAATTAACAACTATTTACTGAAAAACTACAACCATGCTGAAGCTACATAATCTCAACCTTCTTAAGAAGGTTGAAGACGCCGTATCACTTCAAGGTAGAGACCGAAGAATATCCTAATTTCTTCGACGACTGCTTGCTTCTCACTCTTTATAACGAGTACTGTTATAGCACACAATGCTACGCTCTCCCTCCAATTCATGTGAAAATGCCCTAGCCAGCTATCCTCAATATTGCAAGGAGAGTTGAGTCGACCAGAATTCTACGATATTCACAAGGAAGATAAAATCGTCAAGTAGCAGGTGAGGTCACAAGCGAAATGTTCGAAGACCTTCCTGTACGATGAGTGCGAGGAAAATGAATTTCACCAATCGTGAGCTTGTTAAACTATATTTTTTTAAAAAAAATACAGCACACAATCGATAGAAAGGAGTACGATGCTAAACCGGCTATCAAAGACTGACAGCTATGTGGCTGAATGGTTAACAAGTTTTCCCTCATGACAAAAAGCTGGGAAAGTTTGAAAATCACTGCACACTATGTGGAACATCTTAAAGGACACGTACGAGACAGAGACCAGTGAATCGTTCTATCTCTTCAACAACTGTTGGTTCATAAAAATTATTTCTCTTTCTATTTCGAAACCGACCTTCCCTAAACCTCGGTGTGATTAATCAATATGTATTCTTTCTTGATAAGCTTACACGAGGTTGATAAATATATTTATTTTCGGCTAACGTTTCGACGTCTTCGTCTTCCTCAGAGCGTCTTCCTCTTCTTATATTTATCAACCTCGTGTAAGCNGTCGAGCCAGATCTTCTTCAGTGAGCCATCTTCTCGAATGAGGCATCCTCACTCAGTGATGCCCTTTTATACACGATGCTGATGGTGGATATATAATGACAATGTCCGGTGGTAACAACTTGTATTTCTTCCGGACATACATCATTGCGCACATCGTGCAGAGGTCGGTGTATTATCAGCTAGCACAAAGCGTAGTAATATTTCGAAACCGACCTTCCCTAAACCTCGGTGTGATTAATCAATATGTATTCTTTCTTGATAAGCTTACACGAGGTTGATAAATATATTTATTTTCGGCTAACGTTTCGACGTCTTCGTCTTCCTCAGAGCGTCTTCCTCTTCTTATATTTATCAACCTCGTGTAAGCTTATCAAGAAAGAATACATATTGATTAATCACACCGAGGTTTAGGGAAGGTCGGTTTCGAAATATTACTACGCTTTGTGCTAGCTGATAATACACCGACCTCTGCACGATGTGCGCAATGATGTATGTCCGGAAGAAATACAAGTTGTTACCACCGGACATTGTCATTATATATCCACCATCAGCATCGTGTATAAAAGGGCATCACTGAGTGAGGATGCCTCATTCGAGAAGATGGCTCACTGAAGAAGATCTGGCTCGACACGAAGGCGAAGACGCAACGTCGAGGCGAACAACAAGCAGGGACCATCGACTCGGATCACCGGCTCTGAGGAAGACGAAGACGTCGAAACGTTAGCCGAAAATAAATATATTTATCAACCTCGTGTAAGCTTATCAAGAAAGAATACATATTTCTCTTTCGTCCATATATCTGTTCATCATCCCTTCTAAGCATTTCCGACTCTTTCCCTACAAGTATCACAACAGATTTCATCGTTTTATTCTCGCTGAGAGTTCGATCAAAACTGAAGTTCAATTCCCGGCCACTAATTTGATTAAGGCCCACAGAATTTAATTTTTCACTGATAAATTGCCGCTATTAACTTTCATTTAGTGCCCATTCTTTTCATAATAGAGTACGATATGAGTTATAGCCACAAGGATGCAGAAATATGAGGAAAACTCGGAACCTTAGTTGGACTTCGAACTCGCGATTACTTTTACCGAGAGCTCACGTGCTACTTATCACACTAACCGGGGCCTTTGGGTCAGATTAATTAGATCCTATGTCGATTTGTGCTCCCAGAGTATAGATGTTAACGGCGACTGATAACACCGATAGAGTAAAAAACTGGTTGCGAGAAAAGCGAAGCATGCAATATCACATGAGCCCCTCAATAATAGTAGTCGCCGGTTCGAAGTTCAACTGAGGATCAGACTTTGCTCATATCTCAGTGCGTTTGCGATTGTATTTGTTTGTTGTTTCATTTCCAATCGCTATGGTGATTCAACGCCATTTTACAGGTTCGGCAGATATGGAAAGCTTACAAAAGACATCGAATTATACATCGCATATCTTACAAAACTTTGTCAAAAAGTAGAAGTAATGTGACTAAAAGTTGAGAGCTTTTTTTATTATAAATTATAAATGGCTAGCTCCCTCCAAAAACATGAAAGAACATGTGCAAGAACACAGAGGATAGATAGGATATGACAACGCTAAAAGCCTCCAGTAAAGCACATGGAAAAGCGGAATTCTGGAGCGAAAGGTTAAACAAAAAGAACGGGGTCATTTGATGATGAAGGCAGCACTTTGGCCGGCATCGCCCCACAAATCACGCAACCACTGAGTGGCCGAAAAATAAACTTATTACCAATGTGTTAAATATTCCAGTAGCACAGAATTCCGAGGATCTCAAAGCAACGACCCAGGAAGGATGAAGAGGCTGGTGAGAGCGACCGAATAGAACCAGCATCGCGTTCGTGATGACTGACAACACTGCAATTGCGCCATCTTCCCTTTCGTGAAGAAGTAGGACATGGAGATGTGACCAGTAAGGAAATCGCTAGGAATACTCTGAATCACCCTAATAAAAGGCAAGTTAAGCTGCTTACTCAAAGAAATCGTAGCGTTAGGCAGTAATTATAATTCTTAGATCACATTTAACATCCTCGTGACGACGCGTAATTTTGCGTTTGTGATGAGTGGACAACACCTAGTTTCTCACTGCGCTTACTGTGACACTTAGAGGTGTCACACCGGTCACTTCAGCAGTTTTTATGTATTTTTGTGCAACGCCGCCACTTATCTCGTGACTTTCGTTCTATACACCGATTTTCCTCCATATTTTGAAAAATCTTTCCGCTTTTATCATATTACGTATGCTTCACATTCTTCTACACACCATCGCATGTTTTTGGTGCACATGGAACGGCGCGTGTGACGCAGTGGTCGGAAGCGTCCTGCAACACACACGTGGGATCGATCTCCGCGTCCATAGCCCACTAATCCTTCCATCTCTCCGGGGTCGGCAAATGGTACCAGACATGTCTGAGAGGATAGCACCATGGCTTGATACATCGGTAGGCCACCGCAGAATATCCACTCAATCATTCCCAAACGATGCTTAATGAAGTCGAATGCATGGCGCATCCCTCACGGATTGATCAACGCCTAGAGGTTTATCCTTTTTCTTATGCAACTTTTGTGTATGAAGGACAAACACCCGCCGACTATGCGACCATACTGCTGTTCATCATTTAATGAAGTTGTCCAAGTTCTGCAAAGAATATTATGATGTTTACCTTTGGGTTTTGATAACCTTCCATGCCAAATATTGCCCGAAAGTTATCATAGCGATTGGAAACTAGAAAACAACCAACTGCTCATCAAAAATGATGTTGCTGCACACTGCGTACGTTGCCAGCTCTTCGAGACAGAGGCATTTTTGCGCCCCTTCAAAGGCTACACTATCTAGACCGCACACTTTCTTCAACAGCAACAGTCCCTCGCCACAAAATTAGAATTTAGTAGGAAATGAATTATTAAAAAGAGATCTTCCCATGTCTGACTCCAGCTACAGCACCTACGTTGGATAGGTTATCGATTGGTTACAAGAAATACAGGGAAAAGCTTCTGTGCACCAAAATAAACCACCGGGAAAAAACGACACCTATAGGTGATATTTGCCGCCAAAATGTTAAAATGAGCAATATAAGAAATGCATCGTGATGACGAAGTGGTTAAGAAAGGAAGAAAAAAACTGTAAAAAGCACGCTCAAAACGAACGCTCAAAGGAGCAGAGCGAATAGGTGGATGGGGAAAATTCTGCACTTCTACACTTTGTATAAAAA